CTCGAAATCACACATAATCTTCACCCAAATTATACCCAAAACCCTAAACCTTCTGACCCTAGCCTCAAAAGCTCGAATGGCCTCGAAAGAGGAACCCTAATTCCTAATATGGCCTCGGGCAGCCTCCTCAAAGCCCATTGGGCATGGTATTCGACCAATAGGGATGAAGTTCTTCACCCCTTGCCTTCATCCAACCATGCCTTACTTTCATCCTTCCCAATAAGCCTCCTTCTAGTTATATTTTCATCTTTTAACTCCTCCCTTCCCTTAATCTTTATACTAACTATCTAAATCCTATATAATATAAACTCTATAATCAAACTAGATTAACTTCCAAATAATTTTTCTTATTTCAATTCATTTTAAATTAACATACTAACTATTCTAACTCACATTAAGACATAAACATATTACATGTTTTCACTAATTTTTACATACTGTAAATAATTACAGTACGACAACGTGTTCTTCAAGCTCGTCACGACTTTCCAACAACAAGACATTTTGGATATAATTAGACTTTAGAGCTGATATCTAGAGATTTTTGGTGGCCTCAAATGTGGAAGGCAGTTAAAGATTTTGTACAATCATGTGATGTTTGCTCAAGATCGAAAACTCCTCGTCATCGACCTTTTGGACTTCTTCAGCCATTACCCATTCCAGAACAACCATGGTCTTCTGTCTCTATAGACTTCATCACGGATCTTCCAATCTCAGGTTCTTATGACTCTATATTCGTGATAGTAGATTGTTTTATCAAGATGGCACATTTTGTACCATGTATAAAATCTATCACAAGTGAAGAAACAGCTAAGCTCTTTCTTGACAATATCTATCGCTATCATGGATTATCCAAGGATATTATATCAGATAGGAGAACTCAATTTGTATCAAGATTTTGGTGGATTCTTTTCAAGATTCTTAAAGTGGATATAAAACTATCTTCGATATTCCATCTTCAAACTGATGGACAAACGGAGCGTGATAATCAAGTTTTGGAGCAATATTTAAGATGTACCATTAATTACCAACAAGATGATTGGACAATTCTTTTGCCATTGGCAGAATTTGCTTACATTAACATGGTACATTCTTCTACAAAACAAACACCTTTCTTTGCTAATTATGGTTATCATCCACGACTTGATACTTTTGAATTTTTAAAAGTTGATAATCTTGCTGCGAAAGATTTCGCAATACATTTATCAGAGCTACATGCAACGATGAAGGCGCAGTTAAAAGAGGCTCAAGAACAACAAAAGGTCAATCCGGATGTCTATCGAAAGGAACAACCATCATTCATCTTGGGTGATAAGGTATGGCTACTTTGTCGTAATATCAAGACCACTTGTCCTTGTAACAAGTTGGACTATCAAAGGTTGGGACCATTTTCTATTTCTGCACAAATCAATCCAATTGCATATCGTTTACATCTATCGGAGTCAATGAAAATCCATCCAATATTCCACGTGTCTCTTCTTGAACCATACAAGATAGTGGACATACCAAAAAGATGACAAGCTCTACCTCCTCCTATAGAAGTGGACAATAATGAAGAGTTTGAAGTAGAAGAAGTCTTAGATTCAAGGCGCTGCCAAAATAAATTAGAATATCTTGTCCATTGGCACGGATATGATATTAGTAAATGCACATGGGAGCCAATAAAAAATCTTGTAAATGTAACAAAGGCGGTGGATGCTTTTCATTGATGACATCCATCAAAATCAAGATGAAAACCTTCTTTATAAAAGAAACAACATCTATACAAGATAACATTCTACTTTCAATTCTTGTTCGTAGCTTCTTTGTAGTAGTGACGCTCAGGAGATGGAGAATCAATAACCACTGGATTCGACTCAAGAGCCTTCATTTGCTGACCTGTCGGACGAGACATTATGATTGTCACAACCTCCAAGATGACGCAATCGAGATGAAGATCTTCAAGAACGACATGTTCTTCCTCGAATAGATGGCAAGATACAACGCATTTGGTATCACGATTTGGGAAGGGACTCCTGATGTTTGGTGATTGTGCTAGAGGTAGGAACAACTCCTAATGGTGTTTCAAATATTCTATTTGAAGGAAGTTACGAAGGCCTCAACAATGATCAAATAACTGGGTAGTCTTTCCGCCCTAGTATGGGACACTACCGATGGTTGAGAGGCCCTATCAATCATCTTCGAAGAGAACAAAGATCAGAGTATGTGGTGAATATAATTCGTCACATCATAGATTTCCTCAACATATGATGACCGCTCCTCGTGGAACTCGTCCCTAGAAGGGGGAGTAATGTCACGGACATAATCATGTAAGCTAGTAATTACATATACAAATAGGTAGAAGTAAGTAAAAGTAGGTAAAAGTAAGTTAATTCTATAGTATTTAATATGGAAGCTTCCTAGAAGCTTCATAGATGCTGCTTTGACTTCATAGGTGTCTTTAATTGACTTTTTGGATTAAAAAGGTGGTCAACAAGTTCGCCATGTACCACACATGTTGTTAGCTTGAAGATCAAGCTAACTATGTGGCCTACACGTAGAAAAACTTGCCTTGTAAGTCAAAGCATGTGTCCTACAAAGTCAACACATATTGGAGGTCCTATAGAACGTCGCCACATAGCCCCTAGTTAGATAGTATATATAGAGACAAGAGTGAAGGCTTCTTCACTCTTGTCAACTCTTTTCTTGCTTCTAATCTAGTTTCAAGGGTCTCTAGTTTTCTTGCCTTTTGGCAATAGCCATTCCAGTTTCTCTTTCAATATATATACTTGTTTATATATATTTTGTTACCTCTCTTTGAGTGAAGGCTCACTTGTCTAAATTATTTTTTCATCGAGTTCTTGTCCTTGAGAAATAATCATAGATATATGGTTATATATTAAGTAGTATATTAGAAATATTAGTATCAATCAATTATTATTTACATAATTAAATGTGAGGGTATTTTATATCTTATATTTGGTTGAGTTCAATAGCATAAAAATTTAATTAGAGACACTGTAAGATGTAATATTGATTTTTTGTATTACAGAATTATTGAGGTAGTTAATAATGTATTAAAAATAATTTGTTGACTTGTTCATCCAAACTTTATCAATTAGGAGAAGTAAGATAAGTATAGATTTATCTATGGCAAATATAGAAGAGTTTTTATGGCATCATGCAAATAAGAAATCATGATAAATGGGAATATCTTCAAAATTCAACCTAATGGATAAATTAACTTTACAGGTATTATAATTATTATGCTTTAATATAAAAATTGAATATTATAGAATAATATTATAAAGATATATATATATATATTAAAGATAATATAATATTTTATAGAAAAATTTAAAAAATAAGATAAATAAGGTAAATTAATTTTCAATTAATACTAAATCTATTTCAATAACTATTGGAAAAAAATTTAAATTAAAAAAAAATATTTAATAGTATTTAACAAATATCTTTAGAAGAAAGATATAACTCTTTTTTTTTAGACCATAGAAAGTGTAAATATTTGTTATACACATTTTTATATATAATTGGATATATCTTTTGATTGCTTGCTATTATCTTTTGTAATTTTTTTGTTAACTAATATTACTAAAAATATACATTAACTATTTCACTAACTATCAATTAATTTTTTTATAAATATAAGTATAGTTTCCAAAGATTGAATAGACTTTAAGTCAAATTTAAGTATAACAAGAATTAATCAATTTTAATACAAACAACTCCTATGTATTAAAAAACTCATGTATTTTGGCTTATATATCATATTTATTTTTAATTTTTATCATGCACTAAATAATATTATATTTACACAATATTTTATAAAGTATTTCAATCTACTTTTTTTTCCTTTTTCTTTATCTATATATATATATATATATATGTGCCAAAAATGTAATTTTTAGAAGACAATATAACTTCAAGAAAGAAAAAAAAGAAAAAGAAAAAAATAAGAATATTTTTTATGATTATAAAAACTCTCAAGCATATTTGGTTTCTTAAAATATTATTCAAGAAAAATTCAATAAGTAATCTATTATTAAATAGTGTGGAATGGCAATATTTTTTTACATTGGAATACACTCAATCATTTAAAATAAAATCATTGATAAAATAATATCAAGACATGTATTCTATTTTAAATACAATTCTATTTTAAAGACTGTAAAAATGTGCAAAGAGTATGAGACTTTGTTTGTAAGAACAATTTCACCAAAATCCTCAAAACCCTCAAAATCATTACTAATCTTCTATTAAATAAATATATATTTCAAGAGAATTAAAAAAGTTTTAATGGTTAATTGAGAAAGACAAAGTTAGCTGGTTGCAAATCTATTCATGTAATGATATCACTGCAGAACTTTTACTGAACTAAATTTAAACTTGTTTTTTATAATGTAGCTCTACAACAAAGATAATATTTATAAATATACAATTTTGTAATTCCTTATTGGTCAATGATGATGTTTAATAACATTAAACTATAGAATAATTTACCTCCCACATGGCATTAGTTACAACTCAATAGTTTAAAAAAAGTCTTAAAAAAGTTATTACTAAATCTTGGATTGTAGAACCTCACATAATTCTGTATCTCTCTATGTGTGTGTGTTCACATGTGTGAATACAAAACCATAAAACATGCAATTTTTTATTTTTGAGAATATGAAACAACATCAACAGCAATAATTATAATAAAAATTAAAAAAATTAAAAAATCCGAAGAAAAAGTTAAACAAAAAACACAGATATTGCTTTGGCCAACACATCCAAATGCTCGGCCCTCGTATATTTGTAGGCCCCCCTTGGAACATACGCCCCCCTCCCTGCCCATTCAACAACTGCCCGTCTATCCATCAGTTAAGCTAGCGGACCTGACAGGGGTTGGCTTGGCAGGGCAGGGCAGGGCAGGCCAAGTGTTTTCAAATTCCAACAAACTCCATTCCCAAGGTCGACCCTGACACTCCCCCCCCCCCCCCCCCCCCCCCCCCCCTATAACTTGCTAATCTCTCAAATCTCTCTCTTTCCTTCGCTCTGACTCGTTGAGCTCGCGCTCAGCGTATGTCTCCTCACGCCACCGCCACCATCACCACCACGATCATTGTGTTCTCTCAACCCCTCTACTCCCCCTCCCTTCTTAACTGCATAACCCACCTCTAATTCGGCTGCTCTTGTGCACCTTTCATGTTCCTCTGGCCTTTAGGAATTACGGACTCCTTCTGTAGATGTGGGCTAGAGTCGCCATTTGGGTTTTGGTTGCTGGTACCTTCCTCGTCTTGTGCCGGGTCCTGGTGGCGGCTTGGGTGGGTGCTCTGTAGCGTGAAGTGGTCCTTAAAGTGTGTTGTGATCTTTGAGGTGGGGTGTGGGTTGTGTTTGTTTAGGTGGCTTTAGTGTCAGAGGTATGAGTTTATAGGACTAGTGGAATGTGTTTGTGTGTGTGTAAGTGTGAGTGTGGGTGTCTCTCTCTCTCTCTCTCTCTCTCTCTGTGTGTGTAATGGGGTTGCGGAGCGTCCATGGATGTAGCTGGTCGTTGCTTCAGGAGGACGGGGTTTTCCATTTGGAGGTGCGATCTATGTGCGCACTGTTGTGGCGGTGTTTCGAACACTAAGTGATACAACTGATGGTAGCCTGAAGTTTTGTTGGTGGTGGGTTCTAGTTGTGCGTGTTAATTATTTCCCTGGTACTTTTTTTTCTTCTGATGGTTCCCTGTATTTTCGAAAGATAAAACGATCGAGTTTTAGTTATGTGCTGCTTGTCGTTTTCTGTGGAATGTGTCGCTGACCTGTAGTGTTGTAAAGCTCTTTCATTGAAAGGTCTGTGTTTAGAGTATTGCGTGTTGGTGGATCTCTTTGGTCTCTAGTGTGGTTCCGTTGGGATCTGTGGCGGGCGTTTTCGCAAACACGGAGCGCTATTTTATCCCTCAGCTACATGGAAAGTTACTTCTTTGTAGTTTTAGAGAACATCTTTGTTTACTGTGTCTGTACGACACCCTTATTAGTAGATATGCTGGGGCTCATGTACGAGTTTGGCCAATTTTTCTGCCAGGAATCTCCAGTGTCTCCACACTTCGAATTGTATTTGAACTGTTGCCGCTCTTACATTTTACCAGGATTTGAGCTTGTGACTGAGCTGACAAGTACGATGCGCTTGTTTTCTTGTTCAGGCTGATTTGAAACATGGCATTTGCGGTCTCTCGAAAAGTGTCTCATGACTTTTCTTCGGCACTTGGGAAAGGATTGCACGGATTAAAAGTGGAGGCGATGGCGAATCAGGGGAAACCGAAAACAGATCCGAAGACGGGGAAGAAAGAAAGCGTTAGGAGGCGGCTAACTAGGAAGGCGATCCCGGAAACCATCATGCTGGGAATCTTCACGGTCATGGTGGCGGCGGTTCCGGTGATCTTGATCAGCGTCCCTGCTCCCGAGTCTGTACTGCGAGTTAAAGAAATCATGGAAGATTGGTGCACACCTTCCATCTGCTTCGTGGTGCTCATTGTCGGAATCGTGCTCGCAACATCCGGGGCTCTGGGGGGCTCAGGTGGTAGGGTCACTCCTGAGCAGAACCACAAGCTCACCGAATCTTACCTCATTCAACGGCCTGTTTCAGCGTCGCAGATGGACCCCTTGCGGATGCCGGATATATTCTTTTCTGCCGACACTGCGAGACAGGCACATACTCTTTCTCATGCCGCAACTTTTCCTGTCCGGGCTGCTCAACCCACTTCGGTTTTCGTACCAGTGTACTACCCTGCCTTTTTACCATCCCAATCGGGTCCGCCATTCTCTCACAGGTCTCCCAAGGATGTCGAAGTGGAGCGGTTCATGCCGAGACGCGATGGAAGATTTGAGTCCAACTTGGGAGAAAGATTTGTGCCGAGAGTCGAAGAACGGTTTTTACCAACATTGGATGAGAGACTCTCCCCCATGGTTGTCGATTTGAGGTTCAGCCCTAGAGTGGAGGACAGATTTAAGCCTAGAATGGTCGATGAGAGATTTTCCCCTAATGTGGACGATAGGTTTTCACCTCGAGTTGACGATCGATTTTCGCCCGAGGTGGAGGAAAGGTTTCAGCCCCAACTGGAGGAAAGGTTTGAACCCCAGATGCAGGAAAGGTTTGATCCCCAAATGCAGGAGAGGTTTGATCTCCAAATACAGGAGAGGTTTGATCTCCAGATGCAGGAAAGGTTCGATCCTCAGTCTCAGGAAAGATTCGAGGTCGAGGAGGAAGATGTTTATGAGGCTCAAGAGGAAGTCACGTTTGATGTTCGCGAGGAGAAAAGGTATGCACATGATGACGATGAAGCTCGATCAGACTTTGACGATGACCTCGTGGAGGAGGCTCAGGAATCTAGCCGTGAAGACGGTGAATTGGAATCCGAACGTGAGGAGCAGTACGTGGAAACTGATGCCGATGACGAAGGTGGACCTGAGCATGAAGTTGGCATCAAATCTGACAGTGAAGATGAAGTTGAGCACTACACACATAATCACAACTATTTTGAGGCAGACGTCCGTCCTAAGACTCCCCAAAGCATCCAACCCCCTACAGTGTCTACCGAGCATTCACCAGCTGTCCCCCCAACCGTTGAAGTTGAGCCTGTCCCTCCTCCATTGCCTCCCTCTCAGAGGCAGAGCTACGGTAGCAGTGCGACGCTCTCCAGCAGCGCAGAGGATCCCCCAAGTCTTCTTTCGAGACGAAAACCTCCAACGGTACCCGCTCCTCTCATCGTGCAGAAAGCCTCTGAACCTGAGCCTGTGAATTCACATGCTGGAAGCAGTTCAGTTCAGGAGTCCTCCCCCAAGGTGTCAATTAATGGGGAACGGAAGAGAGACGAGCCTGAGACGAATCGCTCATCTGGATTGTCTCCACCAACTCCACCAGAACATCCAAGACGGCCATTTGCCAGCTCATCTTCTCGGAGCTATGCGGAATTTGTCAAACGGACCACCAAGTTTTCTCCCAAAACGCCTATAGAGCCTCCTCCCAAACCGCCGTTTGTGAGCCCAGTCTCCACTCCCAAGGGGCCCTCACCTCCCAAGATTCCCAGACCCGAAATTCTTGCTTCTGTCGGAACTTTGCCGAAGGTGACCCGTAGTCCGAAATCGGAGAGCATCGAAACGGAAGCAATGAATCAGTCTGATGGTAAGAACTCCTCTTCTGCGGTTTCCCTAAAAGCGAGCTCTCCCTCTTTGGTGAAGCAAGAGCCGATTCCAGTCCGGAAGCCAAGAGAGGTTAGAGTTGTAGACGACGACAGCATTGAGACGGATGCCGAGAAGCAAGACGACGACGTGGATCAGCGAGTTGAAGCATTCCTCAGGAAGTTTCGGGAGCAGATTAGATTACAGAGGCAAGAGTCACTGCAACGGCACAGGAGAGGCGAAAGTCTGGACTCTTGAGAGAGAGAAAGAGAAAGAGCAAGGCACAACTTTGTTTTAATTTTTCCATACTTGGAGCATCGCCTACTCAGCTGCAAATTTTGTTCTTCTGGAGCCAAGGGCGAGAAAAAACAAAAGACGGTTGCTTTGCTCCCCAGCATAGCGCTAATGAAGTGGAGATATGTACGAGACGGACAATCCAGAGTCTAGCCCCCCACTTCACTGATTGAATTGTGGCAGTATTTTTCAGGTCCAATGCTAGTACTTGTACCGTAGAAGTTTCATTTTAAGCTGGCAAAATGAGCACAGGGATGCAGACGATTGCACTGGCATAGCCAACATCTCCATAGCCATATCACACACAATCAAGGCCAACTGTCACACAGCATCTGGTTGTGTTGTTCCCACTTCCCTTGGCCTCCGTTTTCTTAATCAGATTCCTCCTCGATGAAGTCAAATGAGATTGGCTCAGTCATTCAATAAAGTAGTCCTCAGCAGCAGCACTTGTCTGGATGAACTTGTATAGTTTGTAACTACATTGTATTATATCAAATAAAGCGGCAGGCGGGGACACTCCACCCATCTTATTGCATTTCCTTGTGTTCCCGTTCCTATTTCGCATGTGAATTATTTAGATTTGCAATGTGGGTTTCTTTTCCCCATTTTACCAGTGGATTTGTAATGGTTAGGGCTTTTTGTGCTGGGTGGTGTTAGTAGCCAAGTCTTAAGGCCACTTGCTTTGTAGAGCATTATAATTTTCTGCTCATTCAGTTTTGTTTTGTACGATGCTGCCTTGACCTGGTGGCCAGTTTCTGACACCATATGCTGCACAGAAACAAGCAATTGAAATGGTGAGCTGGGTTTTGCTGGAACCTGTTGCCGCATAGAAGACAACATCTAATCAGACAAATGCAGACCACAAGTTGCGTTGATGGCCCCAAAATCAATCAACCTCACTAAGTTGGTAAAAAGAAAGAAAGAAAGAAAAAAAATATATATATATATATATATATATATATATTCTTTTAATGCATATGTTTAATGTTCATATATTAAACTAAGTGAGCTTCTATTGAAATTAAGTGGATCTATATTCCATGCACACCTAAATTAAGTACATGCAGATTGATTGGGACAAATCAATTGTATTGAAGTGGCTACAATTTTCCCAAATGTCAACTCTGATGGAATGATAGACCATGATAAATTGCCATATCTTGTAAATTTTGGATGTATATACATTATTATGATTGTGTAATGTGAAGGTATCGTTTTATGTCTCATTATCAATTGGAACACAATGACAATTATGACACAAGTGAGACAAAATAAAGTTTGAATTGCAAAATATAGGTAAGACTAAAAAAATTGTAAAGTCAAACTGTATCATAAAGTGGTCTTGAAGATGATAGTATTGAAATAGGATCATTTGCTTAAAGAATCTACGAATTAAATTAATGAAATGAAAACAAAATTTATAGCTTTTTGACATTACAGCACTTTTATTTACAAACTTTGTAAATTATGTAGGGGCATGGCATCATCAATTTATTCAATATATATATATATATATATATCCATTGAGAATATTCTAATATGCCCATATAAAAATAATATTAATTAACACTAAATGAAATATCAAGAATTAACAAATCTATTTAAATCTCAGGGACAAAAAAAAAGAAGAAAAGAGCCTATGATTTTATAATAATCAATGAAAACTACCACGTCTTTATTAGGGCTTCAGGTACTATGCATACTTCAACCATTAGTTTTGCTAGAAATACGAGTGGGTTTAATATTATTATTTTAGTGTTCCTAACTGAAACATTAGATAATATTATAGTATTTCTTTTGTATTCTTAAATATAATTTTGATGAATACAAATTTTAATGGTGTAATTTTTTATATCAACTTTCTTAAACTACTCTACTAGATACTTTCTTATAAAAAAAGAAATTACATTGTATATTGATAAAAAAAAATTTGAAAATTTACATGTTAAACTAATTCATAATGTATACACACTTTTTCATGCTATTAATACATTATATTATATCAAGTTGTTTAAAATTTAAACTATTAAAGTTTATACACTTCATTAAATTTGAACTGTTTTGATTGAGTACTTCATATTGATTGTGTAGACTTTTTTTAATGGTACAAGATTAAAGAAAATATTTAAAAATCAAATGGTGTCAAAACTTGTAGCAAATTTTTTATTGCAAGTTTTTTTAATAAAAATTGTTAAAACTACACCTAAAATTGTGATTGTTATTTACTTGTCCAATAAATATAAATATAAATATATATCAACAAGTTTTAAAATTTTATTATTGGAAATTAATAATAATAAAAGGTAATTTGATTTTAAAACATCTAAGACCAAATGATAGTTCTTTTACTTTTATGTTCAAATAAGACACTTCGTAGAACATTCATTAAAATAGCTCAATCAAAAAATCATAATTTTTTTTTGTGTAAAAACTTTATATGTTTTATTGACATCATTGATTATTAAAAGAGTGATGTTTCAAAAATCTTAAAATAAATTTCAAATTAATCATTGTTGAAATAGATATTAAATCATAAAATTATAATTTAAAAACACTGTACATTTTAAAAACAAAATAAAAAAATATCAACAAATTATTGAGCATTAAATTTTTTATTTTATATAATGAATGTTGATAAATCACTAATCAAATCATTTAATCTTTTTAATATAAAACTTTTAGAACCATTGGCTTTTATAATCATGGACTAATTGTTTATAGAAACTATTAGGTGGGCACTTCTTTTTTAGTGCATGGACACCCCCTTTGTGTCATACACCCCTGCGCATTCCTCTGTAAAAAATAACTGGTTTGATTTTAAATTATGATTCTTGTTATATTTATTACTTTAATATCAACGTTAGATATAACCTTATCTATCTATAATTTGTGATTCCATATTATCTTAGCCTTAAATTTTTTTATTTTGTCCTTGCAGGCTTTCGTCAAAATTAAATTTTTGAATAAAAGGAACAGAAAAGTTTATGTTTTACTGTTTTTATTATTCATCAATGTCAAACAAAAAAATTAAAAAAAATCCTCATTTAAAATAAAAACTGGTTATTTATTGCAGGATGTGTATGCAAGGGTGCATTGCATAGGGGTATTCACCTTACAATTCCTTTGTTCATTATCTATATATATCTAGACATACATATTAACTCTTTATACTACAAACATACTAAAGACATTATTATGAATAATTTGATGTTTTTAGATTATATATGTTCGAGATATTATTCTAGTCTTTCATAAGAATACAACATTGGACATTCAATGCATTGGCGAAAGGTTTCTTTAAATCAGATATCTCCCGTCTTTTTTCTTTTTTTCTTTAATGATTTTGACAAAAAATAGAAATGTGCATAAAATTCATACACACAACTTCCATCAAATTGCAGTGGTAATGAATACAAATGACACATGTATCTGAAACTTTGATTTTTCAAAAACCAACTTCTACAAAGTTGTATGGTAACATTTAACATATTTTCTATCTATTATGAAACCTCGAATTGCTTAGCGCACTAAAAAGTAGCAAGTAAAAATCTAGGGGGTTAAAACTGTTGCTGCAAGGCGCAGAACTAACATGTCAATACACCAGTTTCAAACTTCAGCACACCCATGAATGCACAGAACACATGACAGAATCATTTAAATACATTGTAAGAAAGCCCCAGGTCTAAAGGAATCAATCATTTCTTTTCAAAAAAACAACACATCACTACAAACAATTTGGAATCCACAAAACGTTGCGTTTTACATTGAACAGAAGAAGCTTTCCAAATATCAGTGTGCTAGAAATTGCAAATCTGACAGCGTGAAGAGATGATTCAGCATCAAGAACAAGCCATAGACAAAACCAGTCTGGTCTACAGATCACAGATGGTAATATATCAAGCATGACTGAAACCCAGTGAGCAACGCAATAGCAGATTCAAACAGGCACTGCAATGCTTATTAGAATGAGGCCCAAGTCTCACTGGAAAAGAGTTTCCGGAGTGGTTGAATGTGAAATGCAAAAAGGAACAGTGACCCAACGAAGCAGCACTGATCGAGACTAACCTTGCAGGAAGTTTGGATCACCTATCTCATCTTTTGGATTTTGGCAGATTGTTCTGCTGACCTTGTCATCTCTTCTACGTATCCTGGAATTGGTGGCGTCAAGGAGGCTGGGATCCGAGTGGGAGGGAATGGGGTGAAGTCTGGTATCAAGGCCTTTTCTCTGAGGTGTGCAGGAAGAGCAGCAATGGCGTCTTTCTTCAACTGTAATCTCACATTTTCTGCAGCAGCTTTCAACCTAGCTTCCTTCATAAGAAACTTGCTGTACTCCTTAGCCAATTTCATGCCCTGTTCTTTCGTCAACTCATACGATGCCAGTTGTTGCTCAGTTTGTTCGACAGTAACAGTTGCATCTTCCCTCTCTGCGGCTGGTTTGTCTGCACACTCAATGGCGAAATCGCATCGTTTTGTGTTAATCTAAGGTGCACCAAGATGCTTCCCATAGCCCAGTCGTAAAACCTAAACCCTAAACCCTAACTCAGAGTACCAGCATCATGAGACGTGAGAGTTTCTCTTCTGTGTCAAATTCACAAGTTATTCAATTTATTCCAAATAATACTTTAAGAAAAGCGAAAAAAATCATAGAACAAAGAGAAACTCGATCATCATGACCATGTGAAGTTCGAGCCAAAAACCTAACAAAAGGAAACCGTAAATCTTGTGACAGAACATAAAATGCATTCACCTGCTTTCTTTTTCTCTTTCGCGACGGCTTTGGCTTTGGCCTTGTCTCTCTCCAAAGCCCTCTCCTTCCCCTTGCTAACTATTCCCAGCTTCTCTCTTTCCAGCTCCCGGAGTCTGTCCCGCTCCTTCATGTGCCGCACCGGCGACGGCGCATCCAAACACGACTGAAGAATGCTGGCGAATTTATCGCGCTTCTCGGTACCTTCGTCTTTAGCAGCACCACCTTTCTTCACCACTTTTGAAGGACTAGCCGCTTTGGCCTCTCTAGAGGGGTTCGCAGCGCCACCAGAAGCCCATCGCACTCCAATTTGCTGCACGCATCTCACATTCTGCAATAAATCCTCACGACCTTTCATGTAAGCAACGACGCGCTTAACAGCCACCCTCTCTCCCATTGCTAAACCAATCTCAACCTCTACAAATGCTTCCTTTCACCTCCGAATCACCTAACTCCCCACCAAATCATCGAGTACACGGCAACTAAAAATCCAATGACAATTAGTCCTAAGCAAAACTTCCAAATTTTTGTGGGGCAGACCCAACTTCCAGAAACCAAATCGTCTACAACGACTTCCAACTAATATCCATCGAGATCCATCACCGACAAAAGCCTCTTGACCTAATTTTCTTACAGGCAACATCCTTCGGGAATGACCTGAGAGAAGACCCACTTGGGCTGTTCATCAATATCAAGACCGGGTATCTGCTCCACTTCAGGAGCAACATCTTTCCTCTTCGTATGTGCTTGTTCGGTGATCGAATTGTGTGTGTTTGTCGCTTGAATGGAAGAGTTAGTACTCTTTTTCTGGTTTCTTGGTGAAATGATCAGTTGAAGTATGCCCGACTCAGATTGATTTCTTTCCTGATCAGAATTGTTTCTACCGATTCAATTAGTTGAGGGTAAGGAAGGATCGCCTTCAGCGTTTACCAGCGTGAAGGAAACTGAATGCAATGGATTTTTCGTTGAAGTTTTACTGTCAGATTAGGAGCATCGGGGGTGAAGTGGGTGTATTGCTGTTAAACTTTTCAGAGCTCGACAGGGTAGGAGCAAAAGGTTTTCACGATCTTTGGGGTTTAGGGTTTGAGAATATGTGATGGGATTGTGAAGATACTGTCCTGCATACTGACCAGGGCAATAAGTGAGAATTCTTTCGATGGACAACTTCTCAACGAGATGTAATTCTCGGTGGATCACCAGACTGAGAGCTACATTCCTTGTTGGAGTGTTGATTTGTTGCATTGACAGCTTGCAATGCTTCAATATTGCATCCCTCTCTCTCAAGTTACTAATTTTATTGCAACTAATGTCGGGGTAAACAGGGGAACTGCAAGGCTCTCGAGAAAACCAGCAGCCATCAGAAACGCCTGGATCATCTCTTTTTGGTCTTCCGTGTTTGTGGCAACGCTTTGTTGCATGCTCTGAGCAGGAGACATGGCTCTGAAGTCCAGCCCTTCTGATCAAGACTTCATCTGTTGCTTGGACTCCGTGCATGACCTCTTGACCTTGCGCCACTCCCTCTCCCTTCTCCTCAGTCAGGTGCCAATCCTCCTCCTCCCACTTTTGCAATTCTTGTCCACTAACTCGTGATGCTAGTTTCGACGTAGAGAATTAAATAAAACCAACTTGTTGATACAGGGCTGGATGGACATGGCCAAGGCACGTTACTCCATGGGTTTGTCACGCATCAGCCAACCCCTCTTCAGTCTCAAACCTCACTCTGCCTCTGCCCGGATACTCGTTTCCTTTACAGGTTGGTCATTCCTCCCTTGCACTCTCGTATCGTTCTTGTGCTTTGTTGTGTAGAAGCACACTCACCTTCTGCCGATTCGTGAATTGACAGATGATGGTGCTGAATCTTCTTCTCAATTGACTTTGGTGAAGCTGGATGCTAGAGAAAGGAATTCTCATTCAACCTCCTATTCTCACACATCAGAGGAGAAACCTGGGCATGAGCTGGAGCAGAAGCAGAAGCCTACTCGTTCGAAAGCTGTGCCAACTGGTATCTTTGTCAAAACCCTTCGTTATCCAGCCAAGTTTCGTTTCACTTGCCTAAAGTTTGACTTTTGGAGACAAGTTGCTTCAAACCGTGGTCAAGGATTAAGAATTCCTTTGTGTTTCTTGATATCCTACCATGCAGATTGGTCACAAGACGAGGACGCAGCTTACAGACAGCTGATGGGTGGTGTGGACGATTCTGACTCCGACTCTGAAGCATCAGTTTCGTATCAGGTGCTCATGTCCTCCACATTTGTCTTCTATGCTTCTTGTGCTGCAGGGCATTTGTTTTCATTTAATTCAGACATGAATTCTTTGTTTAGGCTGTGGAGCTAACAACACCCATACGCTGGTTTGGAGCATTGGTCTCGCCCCACCTTCAATCTGCTCAGACTTCTTTCGATTCAGGTATCCTGAGGGCCTAACTCTAAATCCAGAAGCCCTAAAGTATTCAAGTTATTTGTTCAAGATCATTGTCACAAAATTCTTTTCCTTCCAAGCATCCCCATCTGTGAATTTCCAGCTAATGCAAGGCAACTCTGTGTACTTTGTTCATCAATTGTCATGTCAAACTCAATCAAGAAACCAGTGCAGTATGGAAGGAAAATCCTCAGTGAATTGTTAGCGAAGTCTAGGGCATGAGGAGGTGGGGCTAGGTCTTGTATCCGAATTGATGTAGCCAGTCCTTGTTACCTGATTATCTTAACTCATTTACCTTTTATAGATTTCTATTCTCACGAAACCTGGTTGGCAGCACTGGAGATTCTGGTGAAAATGGCTAACGCACAACGTGAGGCATTGGATGCACATAACCGAGTGACGCAGCAAAATGACGCCCCGGACTCGTGATTTATACTTTTCTTTAGACTCCGAAACAATAGGTCAATACCTCCATGCCTCCACTTTGCTAACGACTACTGTATGATGTTTTGTGAAACCTCACAAACTGCGATGAATTGTTCGAATACTTCATTGAATATCTGCAGTTTCTGATTTTTACAAGCATCCCCGTTGGAGAAAATTATAGCATTGTTTTGGATTCGTCCAATGTCTCGGTGAACTTGTGTCATGCAATAAAGCTCTACCTTTTCAATGACTTGACTCATGAAATTTTAACTTTTAATAATTTGTAAATCCGGTTAGAGGAGCAATACTTGTAGTTTTCATGATTTGAGCTTAAAATCAACTTCAGATTTTATATAGGTGGTTGATCAATTTTGAGCTCAACAGATACAATCAAATATTATTTGAGAGGGTTTTTGGACTTGTATATATTAGTTTTTTGAAAAGATGGTTTAAAAAATATTTTAGTTATTTTGATATGAAGTATATTAATTCGATTAGAATTGGAGGATGAAGTATAAATTAAACATTGCTTTCAAAACCACTTCATTAGTATTTGAAGTTGTGCATACTTACTTAATTTGGAATTGCTTTTAAGTGTTAAATGTAATTCTAAATTAAATCAAAAAAATATGAACTTTTTAATATATTTAGAAATAGTTAAAATTCAGCATGCAATGCAAGTAATTCATAAGTTATTAGCCATAAGTTGTGAGCAATTTATTTGAAATCAATATGTTGGGTAGGTAGTATCTTATTCAAGAAGTATTAAATTCATTTTTTAGATGCAAATTGAATCTATAGATGCATTTTAAAGCACCAAATAACTAAAAAACTTTCTTTTAGAAGTTTTGTATTTCTAACCACAATAGAAAATGTAAAAACAATGTTTTTAGGTTCAAAAATTACATTCATATAGTTCTTTTTTATTTTATTAATACTATTGTAATATCTAATGCTTTCTTGAATTTACAAACTTCTATGGGATGTTTGTTAGGAATTACTCCAAGATTGCTACTCCACTTACATGGTTGACATGCAAAGACAAGCTATATTAGGATCCAGAAGCAGAAAAAGCTTTTCAAAGCTTATAACATGCTTTCACAACAGCTCTAATTTTGATACATCCATATTTCAAAAATCTTTATTTTATAGAGACTAATGCCTTAGACTTTGTATTGGGAGCACTCTTGTTGCAATGTGGAGAAGATAACAACCTTCATTTAATTGCATTCCATTCTTAAAAAATTTCAACGATAATAATCAACTATAAAATCCACAATAAATAGTTGCTTCTTACCATGAATTCTTTCCAAGAATGGTGCCGCTTTCTTGAAGGCACCTCTCATTAGGTGACTATATATTCAGATCACAAGAATCTTAAATATTTCATGTAAGCCTGAGTCTTGAACCATTACCAAGCGCGTTATAGTACATCTTTATCACGATTTGATTTTTGCATCATATATCAATCTGGTATTGTATTATGTGTTTTCTTATTAGAAAATATATTTGGCATCTAGCTATAGAAGGTGAAGTTATGTTTCACAAGTATCTAAAAAACTCTAATAGATTTCATCCATATGAGAAGAACATAATCCAAATTTTAATTCAAAAGTGATAAATAATACTCTTTTTAGTAGCCTCAATCATACATAAATCCCAATTACCTCATTACTTTTATATTTAAGCAATGTAGATTTTTCTTATAAGCTCCAATTCTAATTAGTGAGCGTTGACAAGTTTTAAATTCTAATCTAATCATCCACTTGATATAAAATTTTACATGCAATAAGTAATATAGGTCTCATATAAGCTTAAGAAATTTTAATCTAATTTTGAGCATAATGAAAAGCTCCAATGGTTAGTTACAATTTCTTTTGTAATTTTTTATATAACAAATCTAATGTCTGATAGATAATAATTATTTGAAAAACGTCAAAAAAATACATATTTTTAATTGTAATGAAAATATTTAAAAATAATGTGCGTTTCATTTTTTTTTCTCAAATAAATGGTTAAATACAATAAATTTGATAATACATCTTTGGAAGGAAGTCATAGTGCTTGATGATATTGTTGGATACACATACTACTTCAAAAAATATTGTAAATGAATAATTTAAAATAGACTATAATTACTTAATTAATAATGAGGTGGTTAATTATTTATATTATATAAGCTCAAAAAATCACAAAATATATATAAAGCTATAAGAGTGATTTCCTATTAATTATTAGTATTATCTCTTTATAGATAAAATTTGAATCTTTTTTCATTTTTACTTCTCTTTTAGCTAAGACATCTAATTTTTAAGACCAGCTCTCTAATCACAACCAAAAAAAAATAAATTTTTAATATATATATTTACATTTGAGTCTAAATACTATTGCCTTTGCAAGAACTTAATTTTTATATAATATATAATCTACACGTACATTGAAATGAATATAAAAAACTCTTTAAGAATTATTTGCTCAATCTTTAATTTTATTAATTTTAGAAGCAACTTAGAAGTTGACTATTCTATATAGAACAGTCAACTTCATGATGTTATGAATAAATAAGCTATTTATGTAAACAAGAACAAATAGAAATATATGCAAGTATATAGAAGTTTGTTTTATAAATAAAATATTTTTCTAAAAAGGTTAAAAAAACCTCTTAAACCTAGGTTGAATTTATACAAAGCCTTGAAAGATCTACATGGTTATGTAAACTCTTTTTTTTAAATGTTTTTACATCTAAAAGTTATTATAGAAGTGGCTTACAATTTAGATACTTAGCTTGCATATCTTGTAATACTTTGGAAGCTTCAATGTAGTCTTACTATGTAACATGTGTATAAAAGCATAATTAAAACCATCTTTGGTCTATCCATCTATCTATAATCATCTTAGTATGTTCCTATCTTATAAATATATCTATGTTTGGATTTTTTTCTTTTTAATTAATCATATATAAATAAATCATATATTATTTTACTAATATATTGAAATGTTAAGATATTGAGAATCTATTTGTATATATGTATTTAAATTAAATAATATATTTTAGAATATAATAATAAATTATTTAAAGTCTTTGAAATGGTTTTTAGTATATATATTTTTTAACTCTAATAAAATTTTAAAATTGATAAATTTTAATATATCAAAAACATAATGTATAAATTAATCTATAGATAGATTCAAAATTTAATACAAGCCATCAACAAATCCAAAAACAAACATTAGTAACAATAATATAAGTTTTGCAATAAGTATGGTTTCCAAAAAGACAAAAAGAAAAAAAAATTACATAATTGCAGTACAAAATTGATTAACTATTAAATATACATTTTTGCAAATCTATAAATACAAGAATAAATATAGTTTTTCTTTGTTGGTTTTCCTTTTAACTTTTTTGTACAACAACTTCATATTATGAACATCACATCAAATATATGGTTGTGATAGCCATAATACATAGCATAATAGCTATGACATTATAAAAATATGCATTCAAGCTTCATCAACAATCAAAACATACAACATGCAATAAGATACAATAAAAATGTAATGATGAAGTAAACACACTTAATAGATGCAAAGGATCCTTCATAGATGAAATATTAAGAACTTAATTACAATAGATAAATAAATAATTATATATACATATAGAAAACACCATGAAAAATGTGATGAATATAAAAATCTATTCATTGACAAGTATGAGTTTATGGGGGGAAATGAATATTACACAAAGATGGGAGAAGAATAATGAATTAAGGCCCTTCGAGGGCTTAGTGATGGAAAGATAGGACGACGTGGAGCTTTGTAAGCTTAAGATAAGACACATACACAAGTGGTATGAATGCGCGACGGATGAGAACGAAAAAGATTCATCCATTTCACACAGCGACCCAAACCCATGGGAGACGGACCCAAATCCACGATTCCTAAACCCTCAGCAATTCAGCCCAGATCGATGAAAGCTTATCCACTGCTTCATATAATGGATGAATAAATGCCACCGAATGGAGCATTCATCCGATAGACATCCGTTCAGCAGGGCTCATATAAAACGCCCTTGATGCTTACGAATGGAAGGCCACCTGCGCTGCCTCTTCTCCTCCTCCTCATCCCCGCAATCCTGCAGCAGCTCGCTACTCCCAACCGACCTGGATTAGCCTCTCGCACTCACGAATTTGAGTCGAAATTGGACTTGGATTTCACTTGAATCCTGCTCGAATTGTAAATTGGAGTTGAGAGGAAGTCGAGGGATTGGGCAGAGACGCGACCAGGTTGGGAATTGGTGAGGAGAGTGGGAGCGGAGGCGGCCTCAATGGCCGCCATAGCCAACTTGCCTTCGCTTACGCCGGGAGGTTTAGTGCAGGAGAGTGCCGTCGTCGGAGGGAAGAAGAAGACATGGACGCGGACTGACTTTGCAGTTGCTGCTGCTGCGGCCTCGTCCTTGTCGTCGTCGTTGTCTGCGTCGCTTAAGTGGAGAGGTAGGCGTAATTACGGCAGCGGGAATAGTTCTCTTCAAGGCGACCGCGCGGTTCCGTTCATGATTCAGGAGCTGGCGTGTGTTTGTAACCGCGATCGGAAGCTGTTGCAGTTGGTGTGCAACGCTGCGGACAAGGGCTCTGAAATTTCCGGTTCTCAGGTTTTTGCTCAGATTTCCGGATCCGGTCAATTTTGAGAGAGGAGCGAGCTGTTTGAGAAGGGTTGGACGGAGCTCTTTTCGACAGTCATGAGCATGAATTCGAAGATTTTTTTTTTTTTTTTTTTTTTTTTTTTTAAGTCGAAGAATGAATGTTTCTCGGCACTACGTAAAGTGTGTGATGGGCTGTTGCTAGCTGCATTTTGAGAAGACACCTTTTAATTTTCGGGAGAAATTTTAGTGATTCTTGGGTCTTGTTAAATCAGGACATCTCACAATTATACATTTAACTAGGTAGGCGGAGAAGGTACTTTTTCCTTTTGACGGGTGGCAGTGCGAGTGGTAGTGGATATATCGGTAGTGTTCTCGTTGGAACAGTTATTCCGGGTACGCTAGCTGGTGCGGTAGACTATCTGATAGGTTAGGGTCTTAGAGAGGCGGTATGTGACTAAATAACTTCATTGGATGTGGTGTGCAATCTTATCCCACTGTAATATAGACTCTGAATCAGGGGTAGAAGGTTAGGTTCTAGATAATGCGGGTATACACTTTGACTGCTTGCTCATGATTATGAGTTGGAGTTAAACTAACCACAAATGCGTTGTCGTCGCCTGCTATGGCCCATGAGTTTTCCGCAAGTATTTGCGAGGGAAGCCAGGTACATCATTGTGTTGTTAGCAAGCCCTAGTGGGACGCTATGAGCTTCAGGCTCACTCCAACGTGGGTTACGACGTGCTAAGCTACATTCTTGCTCAGCACAACCATGCCGTTCACGGATTATGGCTATTGTCTGGATTAGACCTTGAACCCTTGTACTTCGTACTCAAACCTTCCTGGGGTTTGTAATGCAGGTGCATGGCGAAGCGCAGAGAACAGAGGAGCAACCTTACGGCATTCCCGACAAAGAGGTTCCGAAACGTTGGGACGTAGTTGGGTTAGGCCAAGCCATGGTACTTATTACATTAACTCTCTGACTTCCGGTTTTTCTGGTCTCTCACGTTCGCAGTGATCGACTTTGCGCACTTTACATTGTGTTGCATGCTGAACATGAACATATGAACCGGTCGCTATGTAAACCCGATTCAAGATTCCTTGTGTGGTTTATGCAGGTGGACTTCTCAGGGACTGTAGGAGATGATTTCCTGGAAGAATTAGGGTTAGTCAAAGGCACTCGAAAGGTAGTTGGCCATGAAGAAAGAGGGAAAGTGCTGCGCGCTCTTGATGGCCGCCATTACAAGCTCTCTGCAGGAGGATCCCTTTCCAACACTCTGGTTGCATTGGCCAGGTTGGGTTTCGGTAGCAGTCAGAATTCTGCCCAAAACGTCGCGATGACCGGCAGTGTTGGCAGTGATGCTCTGGGCGACTTTTACAGGTAATAACGCTTTGCACGCGTCTTGTTTCATTGTAATGTAATTGCGTACTCCGGTATCCGCTGGCGGGTTGATTATGAGCTCGCTTTTCCTGAAGAATTACGCCGTTGCTTATTTGTTATCCACTCGTCTTGAATCTGTTGTAGTTGTGATTGTAATTTTAGTCTGATTGTTGGGGTATCAGTAGTCGCGTATTGTAGATGCTATCGACGAATGCCGGAGCTAACGTGTGTGTTCTTGTTTTGCTCATTCAGAACGAAGTTGTTGCGGGCAAATGTGCATTTTTTGTCTCAGCCTGTTGTAGAAGGCACAACAGGCACTGTTATTGTGCTGACCACGCCCGATGCGCAGCGGACTATGCTTTCTTACCAGGTTAGAATCGTTCGACCCTGTTTTTTCACTGTGCATAGAGAGTTAATCATGTTGTCCCGATTTCTTGTTTCCTATCTGTGCCCTGTTAGTGTACATCAATTTGAATCACCGAATGAAGATATCAACACGTGTGTTTCTTTGAGCAGGGGATGTCCTCTATTGTAAATTTTGATTCAGCTCTTGCGAATGCCATTTCAAAATCCCGAGTGTTGGTAGTTGAAGGGTACTTGTGGGAAATCAATCAGACCATCGAGGCTATTGCTCAGGCCTGTGAAGCTGCGCGTCAACAAGGAGTATTAGTAGCATTAACTGCTAGTGACGTCTCCTGTGTAACTCGTCACCGACAGCAATTTTGGTGAGTAACAAACCCTACACCTCAATCTTTCAGGCCTGTGTACATGCGACAAGACAACGTTGTGTAAGCGTTTGGAGATAGTCACGGTTTTCAGCATCGTCGTGATTATTTGTGAAGTCCTGTCCGAATGTTACTTTATATTGAGCTTTTAGAGAAATGCTGGTGTAATCTGCTTCAATCCGTAGGGTCATTTTGCTAGCACTACGTCTGCATGCCTTTCGTGTGATTATTAGAACGCTTACTTACTTTTATGGCTGGTATATTTGTTGCAGGGATGTTATGTGCCAGAGCACGGATATATTGTTTGCTAACGCTGACGAGGCTCGAGCTCTCTGTGCTTTTGGGGACGATTCCACTCCGGAACAAGCTACCAAGCATCTTAATCAGTTCTGTCCACTAGTTTCTGTCACTGATGGACCCCGTGGTTCGTATATTGGGTTGAGGGGAGAAGTGGTTTTTATTCCACCCGCACCGTGTGTCCCAGTAGACACTTGTGGTGCTGGAGATGCTTATGCTGCAGGTGTGCTGTATGGATTGCTTCGAGGAGTTCCTGATGTGAAGGGGATGGGTGATCTGGCAGCTCGTGTTGCTGCTGTTGTGGTGGGTCAGCAGGGAACACGACTGAAAGAAGAAGCTGCTCTGGAACTTGCCGAATCTGTGAACAGCCTTTCGGATCTTTTAGATAATCGGATTATGGAGCTTATGGGAATGAAAGACGAAGTGGTCAGTGAAAGAATTTCGAGCGTATGAGTGGAAGTTCAATAAGGCGATGTATCTGTCTGAAGACATACTGCTGCGGCCCTCACCGCCACGTCTTTAACACTATTGCACTCCTGACTTTCCGAATTCTGGTGCAGATTAGTTTGGGATGTGTGTCAACCTTGAGAGCAGCTAGACTGAAAAATTACTGGAATGTGGATATCTGAGCCTCAAGATCTTGGTGGAAATTACCGCCAAAGTGGAGGCATCACAGTCCAAGTCCATTCAAATTGTGGAGCTTTAAGAGAGGAGACGTAGGGGGGAATTGAACTTCACCTGTTGGCTATGGCTCTGGGCTTCGATGACGGGCGGCGATGCGCTTGAAAGTTCACATTAAGATAGAACTTAAATCACATTCTTTCTACATCCATTTATGAATCCTCGGGGTCACCAAGACACGCACTGATATGTGTGCTGTGGTCTACAATCACAATGCTCATCTATATAAATTCCATGTCTTTGAACCGGACCCTGCCTGATCTCATCTCTCTGTGTAAATCCTACTGCTCATGCACATGACACTGTAATGTCTGTAGTTGATGTCTAATGTGGCTTCTCCAACAGCCGCAACCCGCTTTCAAGCCGCACATATCAATCACCATTGGCATCCAATTTATAGTAAAATTCTGATGACATTTTTCTCTAGTAATTCTCCCTAAATTCCTAAGTAATGTCTACACCGACATCAGACTGGCGAAAGTAAATAGGCTACAAATCTTGCTCTAGACGCCGTCAGTAAAGCGTTTAATTACCTGTGGCTCATCTGGGTTGATAACTTACCCTTAATCAGAGTCACGATCTCCTCCACGCGTCACTTTTGTCTTGAGGCTTCTCTGTCACAACCACTTCCACGTAGCATGACAGTACAGTTAGCAAATAGAAATATCCCTTGCGTGATCATTTGCACATAATAGCAATGTTTGCCACCTCAACGGAGTCTAATCACACTCCAAAAGCAAAGCCCATTATAACATATCAGGTCGAAATTGTCAGAAAGTCGATGGAAATTCCTGATCTCTCACTAACCTCATCATGTAGAGCATGCCTTGAGCTGCATTAAAACAGCTAGTTTTGGGTCTACGATGCGTGCAACAGAAGCCAGATCTTGTGACCACATGGGAAACTTCGATCTTCATGTGCAAGTACTTTGCATTTATTAGCTTTGCTGGAGGAAAGTGGGATGATGTTTCTTGCTTTAGTATGACCATGTGCAACTATGTGCATTTTTTCAGATATTGCAAAAAGTTTTAAAAGCATGATAAAGAGAATAGGTTCACAACCTTCTACTTACAACATGCAATCCACATCTTTTGTTAATGCTAAAAAAAAAAACTTTAATAATATTCTAATTTTAGATATGCAAATTAGAATATTTTAATTTAAATTATTGTAGAAAAAATTATTTAATTAAAAAAACTTCAATGTCTTAAATTTTGTATCAAAATGATAAATTAGAGTATAAAATTATATAAATAAATAAATAAATAAATAAGTATATAAATATATATATCAAAACATGAATCACAAAACATCCAAAGAATCAATACTCTCTTGTCTCACTAAAAAAGAGTAAATATTCACTCAAAGATAGTTGTAATATTAAAATTGAAATGACTATTGCTAAAGACAAAAAGACTAGAGACTCTTGAAACAAGGCTAAAAGTAAAAAAATAAATTGACAAGAATTAAGAAGCCTCTGTATATAATATCTAACTTAGTAGCTATGTGACAACATTCTCTAAATCATCTAATATATGTTCAACATACAAAATATGTATTTAATTTAGAAGGCAAGTTTTCAACATATGTAGCATGTGCCAAACTTCTTGACAAAGTTTTTAACCTAATTATTACCTACATATAGTTGTAAAGTCAAATTTGTATCTATAAAGCTTCTAAAAAGCTTCTCTACAAGATATTATCAAATTAATTACTTTTATTTACGTCTATCTAATTCTTCTTATCTTAGTAATAACTAGTATTGATATACATGTCCATGACATTACTCTCTTTCTTATGAACAAGTTCTATAAGAAGCAATAATCATATCTTAAGAAAGTCTACAATTTGACGAATTGTATTTGCTACATATTTTGATCTTTTTTCTCTTCAAAGGTAGTTGAGAGGTCCTTTCAATTATTGATGGTATCCCATACAAGGGCAATAAGACCATTGTGTTATTTGATCATTATTAAATCTTTTATACTTCTTTCAAATAAAATATTTAAAACACTTTAATGAATGGTTCTTATCTCCAATAATATCACCAAATATTATAAGTCTCTTCCAAGATTGTGATATCAAAGATAATACTAAATATGATATCAAATAATTATACCTTTTTTTTTAACATAAAATTAAGGTTGTTCCTTGCAATAGACATTTGTGTTGATCTTTTTTTGTTCTTGAGCTTCATTTAATTTTTCCTTTATTATTGCAAAGAACTTTGATAAATAACTTTTAAATCATTTTTTTATTGAATTATCAACTATCACTTGTAGATTTTCTTCAAATTATATAAAATGCTTCAAAGTATAAATCCCTTTTATTTCTCAATATCAAAGTTACTTCAAAACAATTATGACTTTTCAAAGCTCTTATAAACTCATTGCAAATTCAAATTACTCAAAAAAAATGTCCATTTTTTTTTTTTTTTTTTTTTTTTTTTTTTTGCTTTCAAATTCTAATCTTAAATCAATAAAAAAAAAATCCAATTTTTTTTGTAATGATGCAATTTTATGCCTTAAGCTCTAATTAAAATCTAAGTTTATAATTTGTCCTCTTTAGGTATCAACATCTAATTTTTCTAAGTAGTTTTTGCTAAAAGCTATTATTCACTTCTACTTTAAAATCATCATGATAGTAATTTTGCTATCCTATCTTGTTTTATCTTGTTTATGGTTCTATAATATAAATTGAAGTCTATTTTGCAAAAAATGAGTATCAATATTTATTAATTTAAGAAAAAAACATCAAAAATATCCTTAAAATCTGTTGAAATATCAAGAATACTCATGTATTCTTGATAATAGTACATATATCCTTCATTTTTGTAATAATATCAAATCTATCCTTTAACTTGATAAGGTATCACAATAATTCATTTTTTGGTAAAATTAGAGCTCAACTTATATGCCACAAAGAAATTAGTGGACCTTCTTCAGCACAATATGCCTTATTGTGCAATATAGACTATGAAACAGCCATTTTCAGCAAATGAGAGAATTCACACAAGTAGTAGTCAAACTTAGTTGCAACTTGATTTGGAGTACATTCAAACACTAAAACCATAGCTCCAAGTAAAAATCACTTCTTGTAGAACTTTCAAAATCCTATTAGTGCAGTTTAAAGACTGATTTGTGAGTGAGGATAATTAAAAAGAATATCAAATATATGGTTTGCACCTTGTTGTAATCAAGTACATCTTCATTTTTTCTCTTTGCTTATAAAATTTTCTTTTCTTGGCCTTCTCACAACTTGTCTATTTTGACCAATATCAAGTTGCAATTACTCCGTATTTTGATAATTTGATATGTCTTTTTCCATTTCTAAAAGTTGAAGAAGTTTTCATTATTTTCCATTGTACAAAATACAAGTTTTTTTTTTTTTTTTTTTTTTTTTTTTAATAGTGCTTCTTTTTTCATGGTTCCTAATAGGTATGACTCTCAGACCCAACAATGGAGCATGGTGAAGTTAGTGAGTGTGCTTATGGAATTTGCATTTGGTTGCCTTGCTCCAACACTTCACAATATTCCTCTATTTACTAAGTAATAGATGATGGCGATTTTTTGGTAGACAATTTTAGAAAGAAGAGACTAATTTGGAAAGGAAATATAGAACTTAAAATGATAGATGCAAGTTTGTGGTTATTGAGGTAAATTTCAGTTCAATACACCAAAAGCTTATTATTTTGCAAAGTATTCTTATATTACAAGGAGTGATGATGTGATGAATGAAGGTGCAATGTTGTAGTTGTCCTATAAAGAGCTTCCAAAAAGAGAATTTATGTTCTGCTATGTGAGCTAAAATAAACCTCCATAAGTTGGAAGTTTATTCTAATTCATAATAAATGAATTAACTAAGTAATTCTTAAAAGTTGTAGCTATTATTCAAATCTTCATTAAATCACTCTATATTATTTTTAAATCTCCCAAGTAATCAAGTAAAACCTCTACTAACTTCACACTTATAATAATAAATCACTTGAAATATTTCATGCATTGAGAATTCCTTCTTGTATTATTTATTTATATTATTATTATCATTATTATAATTAAAGTTCATCTATTAACAAAAAATCATCCTTAAATAATAATTCATCCTTGAATAACTTTTCATCTATAAAAAATCATCTTTGATTAAACTTTATTCAAATATATTCATCCAAAATCCTAACACCATCAAATCCTAATTAATTGCCTTCTTAACCTAAATTCTTTCTATGAACCTCATATTCACCTTGCAATCTTAAACTGGTAATAAAAGCTGAAGAAGAACCTTTGCATCCACAGAGCACTCCTTCCACCCCAACAAATCAACACCTTCGTTGTACACTCACAAAATCAGAATGTAAGCCAAGATTTGAGATTAATAGGTTTGATGGTGGGACAATAACAAGTGTGATACCTCATCCTTGGTAGCTAAGTATGCAGTCTTGTCACTTCTACAATCGACGTTTGATTTGCATTGACGCCTTCACCAGAAATCCAATGTGGTAGAAACTTTGCAATGTCCACTCCAAGATCGTCACTGCCAACCCTCCTTCTATTGTGCTGCCAGTTTTTTGAGCGCGGAAGCCTTGTCAAGTGACAAACATGACAATTAAATTGGTCTGCAACAGCCGACACATGCCTTCCGGGAACAACTATCTATCCTAATTGGCGGCTCGCTCTGTATCAGTTCCCACCTAATTCACAATTGGAGCATACACCAGATCTCTCCCCTCACAGTAAATTGGCCCCTTGCGGAATTCTTGCTATCGGCCTTGCATACAAGCCAAAACAATAGTACAAAAAGAAAAAAACTACTCTAGCAGCAATCCACCGCCTGTTCTAACTCAAGCAAATCAACATTCTCTATTGAGTTCAATCAAGGTCTACTTCTCTCGAGGGAATCGCACTTCTGTAGTACTCCGTCTCTATAGTTGTCTTCCACCCCCTTTGTTGACAAGTTTGCATTGGAGCGAGAGACCAGAGTTCCACGAAATAAGTGTTGTAGCCGGCCTCAATGGATTTTCTTCACAGTATCCAGATGGCCAACCACCGGATTAGTCCAACACTTGCTTGCTTTTGATCACGCGATTGACAGCAAAACCCCACTGCCGTCGACTCCAACCCCAAAACTAAATAATAATTAGCAAGAACTCCCAATCATGAGAAAGAAAGCTGCCACAGCGTAACGAACTGATCTGCACAGCTCCTAATCTGACCTGCAACTTGCCGACCCAGATGAGAAGGATTCAAACCGAACATAGCTATAG